TATGTTTGACATAAAATATGGTAGAGGGACCATTCTTATGCCTTACCAAATTTACTGATGAACAATACTAAAAGCATTTCTCAGAAATGCCATTTCTTACAGCACTAGTTCGGATAGCAGATTTTGAGCTGCAACTTTGAGGAAATAGTTATATTCAATAATCTGTTTTGCACATGCAACTGTAATATTTTACAGTACTGGGGGTGCACTGACAGCTGTGAAGAAGCAGCTATTACAGACTGTACTTCTAGCAAGTATTCTCTTTTGTATTTCTGGGAGCAAATGATTCTCTGAAAAGTTTTTCTCATATTTGTTTTGCGTCAATAGCTCCGATACAGGTTTAACAAATTCAATAAAACTGCCTATAATGCCGGACTTAGCAAACATCTAGCAAATCAGAATTACCAATGCATATTAGTGGGATTCTACAGAAATTGAGAAAAATGTCTAAAAGATTTTTTTTTTTTTTTTTTTTTTTTTTTTTTTTTTTTGTCTATTTGCAGTGAATATCCAGACATACAATAAAACACATACAAATGATATCAAGATTTAATTTATTTGAAACATTACAAAAATTACAAAATTTTAAATTGAATCACTTGATATGTTGAATAAGGCAGTAATCGAATGAGCTTAGAGAATATTACAAACAGCAATTAGATATTTATTTCAACATTCAAGAGATAGAAGCAAAAATAGAAATTTAAACTTGGAAAAATTTACATTTTTATGATCTTGAAAGTTAATTACAAAGAATGAAATATAATGACTGAAAATGAACTTTGCAGCAGACAGATAAATTATGTGCGTAGACATAAACAGACTAAAATGAAAATTATAAATTCTTAAAAATAGAGCATCTGATAATAACTATTACATAAAAATTTCAGAATTTTTCAATATGATTTTCAAGATTTTTTAAGAGGCACCTTTCTGAATAGTTGCATAATTTACTATCTATATGTATTTAGAAACTATAAAAAAGTTATTCAAGACAGTATGCACATTTTATATATTTTACTAAAAACATCTTCATGACAAAAATGCATGCACATTAGCATACATTAATGTATAATGAAAATAATAGTAAAGCTGAATGATAGATATTCGTAATGTATATGTTTAACCACATTCTTGGAAAAACTGATTTACGGTTTCCTTCTGTATCCAAGGGATTCTGAAAGGAAGGGGGGGGGTTCTTTCTTTCTTTCTGCTTTTTTTTTTTTTTTTTTTTCCTTTTTGTATTTAAAATTAATAGTTCTATATGTAGTTTTTTTTTTTTTTTTTTTTTGAATCGATGATCTTTCTCTTTCATCTACCAGTAAATGACTTGAAATAATGTACCAACTTTATATTTTACAGTAACAATTCACAAAGCATAAAGAAATTTAATTAAAAAAATACCGTTTTACCCTAACATAGTTACAATCAAACCCCATTATAGCAAACCTAGCTTATAAAAATCAGATTTTTTTTTTTAGTTCCATCCAATTTTATAGACAGTTAAAATTATTTTATATAGCAAACTACTTTCAAATGTATAAAAATTGGATATAACAAACTTTGTGGATACCTTAGACTGAAAATTTTTTAATGTTTTTCAAATTTTTTCTGAAATTTCTGCAACTTTCAACTGAAAAATTACTAATTCTTAAATCCATTAGAAAAACAAAAAAACACCTTTTGTTTACTTTTCTTTTATCTTCACCTCCATGCTTTTCTGTGTTCTAAGGAAAATGCTATGTGTCACAAGTAGAGCACTCAATTCTTAGGGAACCAGGACATGTAATAAATATATCTTAGGAGATCTGATTGTATCTTGTATTATTCATTTAGTAAGGCAACAAGCATGAATCAATTCTGTGATTAGATTCAAGTTCCTTGATTGAGCTGTAAGACAGTTCACTCTTTTCATGGCTGATATTTATTTATTATTGTAAATGCTTATTTTAGAAAAAAATGTGGAACTGGAAGGATGACTCCAAACCTTGACTTTTATGCTAAGTAATTTTCCATGCAAAATTCTAAACGTATGGCGAATTTGGAAAACAACAAAAAAGAAATTTAGTAATTACACATAATAACTGAATTTAACTTTTTATAGTATGGTTACTATTAACATCTTTTGGGAGATGTCACAATGCTAATCACTCTTTTTTTGTACCTTAATCAATTTTAACATTAGTTTGTGAGATGATCTATTTTATTTTACTTAATCAGACAGGATATAGCAAACCAAACTTTTGGTCCTTGGAATTACTTATAGCGGGATTCCATTGTATTTCATGCTTCAAGCAGCAAGCGATTGAGTACTTCTTTCTCTTATTTAATTTCCTTTAAAGGGGGGATTTTAATGTTCTAACAAAACAAACAACATTAATTTAGGCATTATACCTGTACACTGCTACTTGAATCAACATCTGCATTTATAGTAATAACTTGCGATGATAATTTATTAAGGAAACTACTTTACAGAGCCAGTTACAATCAATGGGAAAAGAATTATAAAAAATATTTGTAATTTAATTAACTTCATGGAAGAATTACAATTAGAAGTAACCATAATTATTTTACAGAATCTCTTGGATCACCGTGCAATGATAGAATATCTATGCGGTGCAGCTAAATAACATAAAATCAAATTACAAAAATATTGACAAAATTGATCACATACATAATTTCCAATTTATTATAATTTATAACAAAATTCAATGTGCATTGAAAAAAAAAAAGTTACATTTTTAAACATGGTTTGTACACTCCATATAAATTCAAGAATTTTTTAGAATTTTATATGAAACTTTATCTAAATTTTGCATATTTACTGTATTTTTAAACACTACTGTCTTTATCATTTAAAATTTTAAAATTTATTTCATTTTTGATTAAATGCCATGTGTGTTTTACTTAATAATCAAGGATAAAATAAAATTACTTAAGCATATGCAATTAGCAAGTTTTTCTTTTAAAAGAGATTTCTAACTACTGCAGTCTGTTTGTATATTTCACTTTTCCTTCCTTGCAATTTGTGCCTACATTGGGTACAGCATAATTTTCTTCACAAAATATTAATTACAGATATGTCCAATTTTATAATCATTGCTGCTAAAACAATGTATATAGATGATTTAAATGTCTACAGGGGAACAATTCTTTTCTTCATATTTCAATCTTATTCATAATTAAGATACAATTTACTTTTCATTAACACTGACAGTATAGTTTTCTTTACAATGCTATTGTAACAACATGCTTATTTCTAAATGGCCAACTAAATCTAAATAACTCGATTTTATTTATGTAAAAATAAAAAAAATACACTTTAAACAAGAATGCAAGCTCCATTTTTAACCTATTTTAAATAAAAATTGGTTAAAAATTTATCAAAAAATCATTTTAAAAAATCCTGAAAACTACAGTAGAATATAAAAACCTGATATAATCTCAAATAATTCAGAATATTAATTCAATATACATACACACATGTATTACTTTTAAGACATTACAATACATTTTATAAATTTATTTCAAGCTCATTTATGTTTCAATACATTGTTTCACAAAGTTAATTTAACTTTTTTGTTTCTCAACAATTTAAATAATAATAGCTAAATTTAGCTTGTTTTGGGGAAAGGCTCAAGTTCTGGGAATTTCCACATTTATATTTTTCTTTGCTAACAATTGTAGTATGATCAGCAAGACAATTTTCTGTAAACAGTGACTTTTCATTTAATCTTTAAAGTATTAGATTAGAACCTGTAGCATGCATATTAAGGACAGCAACAGTATAACCTGTAATATGTATATATTGGAGATATGGAACACCTAGCAGAAAGAGAACAGTTTATACAATGCTAAGAATTTTGGCAACCTCTTCAGCTATTGAATGAATTATGCAAGAGGGATTCTATCACCCAAAACCATTCATATGTACTTTTGTTTACTAAGATTAAATGTTTCAAAATCTTCTAGCATCTAGGTTATAAATGTTCAAAGATATTCTATCAAAATATCAGCTAAATACTTAAATCCATTTTACACACTGGATCCACAGAAGAAAGATAAATCAAATTTAATCAACTCTGCCAACGCAGGGAAGGTATTTTTTGTTTTCTACCTTTCCTTAGCATGAATACTTCAGTCCTGAAGTTTAGAATATCAATTTCTTCTGCTTAGCTGCAAGACAAGGGTCTAAAATTTAATGATACATTTGTTTAAAAAATTAAGAATGATAATTATTCATTTATTAAGAGTCTACATTTCACATTTCAGCAAGAAAAAAATTTGAAATTCCGGCTATATCCAATCCACAATCACCCCTGATTATAACATGTAATGGTATTTAATGGAGATAATTTTTGATAGAAAAGAGCCAATTATATTTTAATTAAAGTAATTAAAATATAATTGGTTCGCCTGGGCATTAAATATTTCATTTATTTTAAAATAAAAAATCTACTGGTCATTAAAATTATTATTTTGCTTATAGAAAAACATTAACCATGAAACTAACTTAATTTCAGTCAGTTCATTCAGTTATAGTGACAGAAATCTACTGGTCTTTAAGAAACTTTTCCAAGAAGCAGAACTAGTCTGAAAGCCAGATTTCAACCCACAACTTTGGGAAGAATACTGCATTCCATGACATTTTTGTGTATGTACTTGCAATAGTTTTCAATGGTGAGGAAAACATTATGCTGTGCATAGAAAGGTAAATAAGGGATAGTTTGAAGAATCAGTTAAAACCTAAATTGACTCTTAACACCTTACAATCTTATGAATTAAATTCCTTTCTCATAATCTGAAAATGATAATAAAAGTTTGAAACTTCAATATAAAAATGATAAATGCTTTAAAATGTGAACAATATATTTTACAAATTTATGGTGATTTGGATTGGATTGGATTAGATTACTGAATTACGGCAAAGCACACGAGGGCTATCTGCCTAAAGGGAAGGATGCCTTTGTGTGGAGGACTTTCTATGGAAAACTGGCTCGTATACATGTTACACACGGGGAAAACCACGAAAACGCCCATGCAGCCAGCCCGTTCGCGGGATTCGAAACTCGGACCGAACTACCAGTGTTCAGCGTCTTTACCGCTCGGCCGCTGGTGGGCTATTGTGAAGTGAATAAAACTGATAATGTGAATAAAATCAATTTAAAATGAATATGCATTGTTTAGCTGTATTTGAAGGATTAAAAACAATCATAAATTGCCAGACTATAATGGCTGTTGGATGACAACACACTGCACATATTGTTCACTGCTGAACTATGTAGCAATTTTAAATCTTAGGTTTTATATAATCTATATAATCAATGCATTTTATAAATTTAGAGCAAAGTGAATAAAATCTATTTAGAATTAAGTAAATCGAGTTTTAAATTTATCAAAATGGGCAAAAACTCTGAACCTAGATAATTCAAAAAGTGTTTTTTCTCAAAAATATTTGGCTGAAAGCAAAAACACATACAAAGAATTATAATCAAGTCTGAAAAGAATCAGAGCAGCATTTCATGTAAATATAGTTCAGTTGAAAGGCAATTCCCCCCCCCAACCTTTAGACATAATGCTTAAATACATTTAATGAAAAGTCACACAATATATACTATCTTATTATCAATAAAGGGGGAAAAAAACATGAATTAATATACACTGTACTTCCATGACTTGTATGAGGTTTAATATGTAAAAGTTCTCATTACACATTTTTCATGAAGATGGCTTTTCCTAAAATACTTTTTAGAAGTGTACAAACCATGTAAATAAATTTCATATATCTGCTACTTCAATTAAACATAACTATAAAATATAGAAGCTAACAATGAATTTTTCAGCAATTACTCTTTTATACATTTTCAAGATTCAGATCTCTCCCTCCCTCCCTTATTCTACATATATATATATATTTACACTGTGCTTATTTACAATGGAAAATAAAACTCTACAATTTTTAGATTAAGCTATTAAATCTAAAAATGGTAGCACCAACTGCAGAAGTCACAGAATTCTATGTGAAATTCTGAAGGTATAGAAATGAGATAGCTTCAAAAAGCTGGCATAAGAGTTTAGATATATATTACCTAAAGAATTATAATATACAGTTATACTACACATATTCAAACCACATGCTAGAATTATAAAACAAAACAATATCATACAAATAATAACATTTAATATGTGTATCATGAAATTCATTTTATGGGAAGGAAAATCATAATTTTATTTATTGAAAATTAAAACATATATCTGCATGTCAATCACATTATATACATCATGCAAATTAAGAAAAATTCATACTTTTTATATATGTGAGAAAATTTTAGTAATGCCAAATTCATTTTATAATAATATTCACTTTTTTATTTGGGAATAATGTATGAATTTAAAATAAAATAAATTTAAGATTTCATACATGATCACAATGTGAACAGCTATATTTCCAGTAGCTTTAGCTTTAAATAGTTCATTAATTATACAGGAAAGGGGAAAAAAATCATCACAGTTAATAGAAAAATCTTTCAAACATGCATGGGAATGGAAAATCAAAATTCATCAACAGCCTAAACGCATAAACCTTTACACATATGATATCATGTATATATATACAAAATGTCAACAGGTACTTTTGAAGAGTAGTTAATGTCTCAGGAAAACACGCAGACCTGCATAATGGACAGTGCGATTTAAATAAATAAGTGAGAGCATTTGAACTTTCTTCAGAAATATTTTCATTTATATACAATTCTGTATGGCATCACACTTCAGTGTTTCTTTTATATTTGTAGCTGCACCACATGACTCTACCCAGCCAAAGACCAGGTATACTAAGCTCCAGGAACTGATGCTATGAATGTAAGACAGAATAAAAGCACCTGAATTGGCACATGAAAATTACATATGAAAAAGGAACATCAAGAGCATAGTCTCACACCATTTATCACGCTGTGTATACGTTCCAAAAGAATTTCGATTCCTTTCAAGGAAGTCTGAAGTTCTGATTGTCGATTTTTTTGTTTCTGAAAGAAATGAAATTGCACATTAAATACACATAAACATGAATAATAAACTAAGAACAATTATTAGATCAATGCAAATAGAACGAAAATTAACCGATTATATGCCAGTAAGTGATACATTATTAAAATTCTAAGGTACATAAAATTTCTATCACAAGTTGAATTCAAAGTTTGATAATCGGAATGGTTGGGATTTCTGCAGTTTCAGATTTCAAACAATCAGTTTAAATCTAGCAAGATAACATGCATAGAATATAAAATTAATAATACTTTCACCTTAATTTCAGAGATAGACATAATCTCATATTTAATTATGAAGTTCCAATTATGAAGTCCTGTAATCGCCATGTCATGAATTCCCACTAAACCAACAACCTCTTTGTCATTTTTTGCACTATCAATACTGTTATTTTCTGGATTTAAAAACATACTATAAATTTTACTATTTATTAGTTAATTGATGATTCCAGCATTATCATTACAATGGAACTCTTTTATAATCATCAACAGGGAAATATGGTAACTGGCCAAAAATTACACCAAGCATTTTTAAAAATATCTACAGATGCATCTTTCCATAACCTTATATTAATCAACATAACAGACTTTTGATAAAAATATTTCAAAAATTCCTAAATGGTCTTGTCACTGTTCAGAAAATTTAGCAGATTTTTTAAAATGGCTACTTTATATCTATCTGCATTTCAATTTGCAGCACTCTGATATCCATTAGCCTCACAGATGGATATAAAATTTGGAGCAAAGAAGACTGAAACATTACCTTTTACTAAAATTTAAGTAATGTATGAGCCAAACAAATGTCTATAATCAGGAGAATTTTTGTATCATCTGATAAACCAACTCATTTTAAATGTTGTTGAGACTTGAGTATAAAATACTTTCAAAACCAATCATTTATTGATGTTTGTATCATCCATGATCTTTTATTTGAATGTTAGATGACAGGGAAAATCTTCATTAGTTTAAATGCCCGAGTGTATTTTTTCTGATTATAAAACATTTATATATCTGTGCATTCCTGAATAATATGCACATGTCAAAAAACAGCCTTCTTAGCCTTGCTTTGGAATCTTTGACGTCACTTCAGAACCTATTCTGCAGAAAACATCATTTTAGTCAGCAATTATAAATTTGTTCTAGAAATAGATTTTCGCTATTAATGAATTCAATTTGGAGATTGTTCATATACTTTAGTATCAGCTGAAATTTTTAACTGCCTTATACAATGGCAATTTTTTAATTTGATTCATCAGCCTCTCAAATATAAATATGTGTACTTAATTTCATGTGTACCTCATGAAATATTTAAGTTTGAGCCATTAGCATTGGACATGTGATTGGCACACACTTGGTGCAATGCAGTCTCACCCATTCAGTCACCACTTTTAAGCATAACAAACAACTGATATTCCTTGTGAGTGGGGTGTCAGAATCCACAGAAGATTACAGAAATTCCTTTTTTTTTTTTTTTGTATGTGTGTTCCTGTGTGAGTGTACTGTTGACTTGCCGATGCCGTATTTCTCAGATAATTTTGAGAAGGGTCATGCCTTTACCTTTTTGCTGGGCAGCATTTCAACTTTTTACTTGATTAACAATGAAACATACTTCCGGTCTGCTACAGTTCCAGATTTAGAAACTCTTTTCAGCGTATCAAAAATTCAGACTTTAGTTTTGATAGCAGTAATAGCCTGGAAAAGTAGTAAGTTGGATCAAACTAGAAAGTTAAGGAAGAGTACAAATCTGCTATGTTAATTGCAGTGAAGTTCTTTGGAATCAAATTATTTCCATGTTCCCTGCTATGGAGGGGGTGGGAACAGTATGAAACAAATACATCTTGAAGCTTCAAATACTGTTTAGAACAGACACAAAAATACTGCACCCGTCCCAACCATTCAAGGGCCAAAAGACACAAATCAATATATTGTTATTTGGCCATGGTGCGACTCCCTACCATGCAGGTGTCTGAAAGTGATATACAGAAATCTCAGTCTGGAGCATAATCATTTCTGGGGCATGCCTTTTTTTTCTTGAATGTTAAATTCTCCATTGCTAGCTTTCGTAAAGGAAAAATTTGCTGTCTGGATGTTCGATCATTCCACATACTAGATGTCTGGATTTTTTACTTTTTACCATACTGTATTATTCTAATTTGGAATATTCAGGAATGAGATTACTGATTACTCAGCCACACTTGGTTCAATTTAAGATGGATAAGACAAGATATAATTTTAAAATATGTGACACCAGAAATTCTAGGCGATGCATTTGTAAAATTCTCTTTTGGCTGAACTTATAAAGTAGCAGATTTCATTAACATATTTTATTTTCAAACTGCTTTGCTTTAAAAAAATATGTTGCTGTAAATTAATACTTAAAAAGAAATCTGATGTGGCAACTAATCTGCAATTTCAAGTTTTAACTAGCAATAAACATTAAATAAAGTATCACTGGTTGATTGTTTGTAAACAAAATCTAATTTGTTATTCCAATAAACAGAAAAGTCTATAATAAGAAATTCTGCATTACATTTTATTAGCTATAATTGACCATGTGCAAAAACCAATTTTTCTGAAGTTATAATCAACGTAACAAAATTCTCATTTATTCCTCTTTATTAAAAATTTTATTTTATTAGGCAGTTGAATAATATATAATTTAATTGTTTTTTAATCAAAGAAAATTAAGTGTAATATATTTAAAACATTCTTAGAGTATATCATCATTTAATTTTCTTCTTTGTTATTTCTATAGTATCAACGTCTAAATTCATTCTATCTGCATGTATATATATATATATATATAATATATAAATATAATATAATGAATTTTATTTACTAAATAATATTGATTAATTGATTATATTATCTCCTAAGTTTAATTATAGTAGGATTATCTCAAAAGAGTGAACCCATACTAGTAAGTTATATTTTGAAAGATGTTTTGAAGTAACTTGAAAGTTAATTGTTAAAAATGTTTTAATGGGGACTGGAATTAAATCATGAACAACAAAATTTCAATTGTAAAAGGAATAAATTAAAGGCAAGAATTAATGCATTATTTATCTTATATTTTGTAATTTTCTAATGTTTATTTCAACTACTTTGAATTCTATTTCATAATGACAATTTCCAGTGTTTAATTTTTACAAATAATTTTGAACTCAAATGCATAAACAGGAGGGTGTCGGGGGATGGTTACTCGGGCTTTATCGAAATTTTACTGCAGAAATTGCTTTTCACTCAAAATTGAATTGGCTAAAATGCTTAATAGGAATGAGATTCTTTGGATCTCTGCATTTGGTTCTTAATCCCTTCTATTCACGAAATATTTGGCCTGAATTGAATTGCCGGTTTGGCATCGCCTCATTGCTCGAGTAAAGGACGAAACACCTTCGTATTTATTTATTAATTATTGTTCATTGAACGGGAGTTGGTTTGTATTAATTATTGTTCATTGAACGTGAGTTGGTTTGTTCCCCTTCAAAAGTCAACTAATTTCTGATCAAGGACAATGATTACATGCATTTAATTTAATTCTTGCCTTTACTTTATTCCTTTTACAATTGAAATTTTGTTATTCATGATTTAATTCCAGTCCCCATTAAAACATTTTAAACAATTGACTTTCAAGTTACTTCAAAACATCTTTCAAATATAACTTATGGATTCACTCTTTTAAGATAATCCTACTATAATTAAACTTAGGAGATAATATAATCAATTAATCAGTATTATTTAGTAAATAAATTATTATTAACTTACTTTGCAACAATTGCGCGCAAGTAGTAGTAACTTATTTTCGCATTAACGATAGGTTAGTCTTCCTTCCAAAAAACACTGTAAAGCAGGCTAGCTCCCTCTTTACTTTCTTTACTTAAACTTAGACTGTTTAAGGAATCAATTTACATACTTCAAAAAAAGACACTGTATCCTTACGGACTAAATGCCTGTCTAAGTAATACCACCAATAGACAGTCAGAAATCTCTAAATTTGGACAATTCAGATTTTTTAGCAATATTACTACCAGAGGATCGAGAGGAGGTGATTCCAAAAACAAAAAATTTTTTTCAACACAAGATCTGAAATTAATTATTAAAAATCTTAATTCCTACCTTGAACATAAAGAATTCGCTAAAAATGCCATTAAACTTCTTCATACCTTTAAGAATAGTACCTTATGAAATCTGATTAAAATGATAGATCAACTTTCTCAATGTTTCCAAATAGTCAAAGATCTGATTATTGACTTTTGCAATTTTAAACTAAAGAATTTAAAATTTTTCACAAAAAACTTTTTTGTACTATGCAGTTCAAGCACCCTTCTTACGATCAGCTAAAAATACCAAGCATATTTAAAAAATATCAACACTTGCTTCCTGACCAACAACTTCATATTAAGCCCTGTTTTAAATTTGAAAAGACCTTAGATCAACTAGTTATCAACCACCACATTATACAAGAAAAGAAAATAGCATATGTAATTGCCTAATGCCTGTTTACAATAAATATGTCGATCCTTTCCACCAACATGTTATTACTGGAGATCTCAATATCACTGAAGACTTAGAATTGCGAACCCTTATGCAACTTGGCACCAAATTTCGTCCTACTTTCAGTATTAATAAGCACTTTTGCCTCAAACAATTCAATAATGATCTTGATAAATTTATCATATTAGCTAGTAATAGATCCAATTTACCTACTACAACTTTTCTTGAATGGAAAGCTGCACTAATTAAAGAATTTCAACATTTGCTTTTCAAGTCACCTCATTTCAACTTTTTGCACAGTAAAAAGCAACTAGAAGATCTTATTCAAAAACTGCAAGATAACTTTATCATCACAAAGATTGACAAAGCCGGTAACAATTTTAGTGTTATTTGAAAACAGTTTCACTTCAACCTTCTGCATAATGAATTAAATAACACCTGCACTTACCAAAAAATTACTACCAGCACTAAGATTCTTCTCAATAAAT